GGTGCTGAGGCGCTCAGTCACAGAAATGTGGCAGAGCTTTCCCCACCCTTCTTGGGTCTGAGGGTCGGTGTCTTGTGCATGGGTGTGTCCTGCTACAGCCCCATGGGTGGAGCTACGCTCACCTGTTCCTTTGTGATATAACCCCTTGCCCTGTTTAGGATAGAATCTTCCATGGAAGTGCCTTGTGTGTGTCCCCTTCTCTTACTGTGCCCTTGGGTGTGGCCTACCCAGGTGTCAGTCAACCTGCTGACAGTGGACATCATGAGGATAGACTCAGCCCCCTGAAACCTGACCCCTTGCCTCATTTGAATAGCTTCTCCTCAATAAAAGGGCTCCCTCTTCCTGCAGACCCTTAAGGTCAGAGGAGCCGTCACAGTGACCCCAAAGAAAAAGGTATTTGTGTCTCTTGTGGGGTTACTTTGCACAGCCCAGTCAGCCCAGTTTTCCTGGAGTGACCCCTGAGCCTTTTAGTCTCGGGAACAGAAACCTGGCACCTCGGGGGCTGTGTCCTGGGAGGAGGAGCTGCTGTGTGCCCTGGACCACCAGACAAGGACCCTGGAGGGCTTGGGCCTGGGGAAGCCAGAGTCGGACTGGGAGCAGCTGCGGAGAGTGGGGGCCCCTGCAGGCAGGCAGCGCAGAGGAATGGCAGACAGGCTGGCACCCCTGATGCCCCTGTGCCCTGGCTGTTGGGCGACCTCGGGCAGCGGGTTCTCAAAGCGCAAGGGGAAGGTGCACAGGGAAGGATGGCTGGCTGGCGCTCCTCTGTGGGAGGACAGAGACATGGGAGAGATTCTCGGTGCGCTGGCGAGGCCTAAGCTGAACCTGGCACTGAGGCCTAAGTCGATGAGTTTCACGTGTCCTCTGGCATCCAGCATGATGTCCTCTGGCTTCAGGTCTCTGTGCACGATGCCCTTGTCGTGGCAGTGGCCCAGGGCACACACGGTCAGCCTGAAGAGTCGGCAGGCCTCCTCCTGCTGCATGCCACCAGGTGGGATGTGCTGAAGTAGCTGTCCCCCACCTGCGTACTCCATCACCAGGTACAGGTTTTTCCTGATTCTGATCACCTGAAGAAGCCGGATCACATTGGGTTGCTCCAGGCTCTTCAACATTAGAGGTTCAGAGAGGTCCGAGATGTTCTGCATCACAGCCTTCAGTACTTTCACCACCACTTCTGCCCCCATGAGGTGATGGCAGGCCAGGTGGACCTGGCCAAATTCATCATGCCCAGTGGCCCTCCAGACCTCATACTGGTCTAGGAAGCCTGGCTCCTGGCAGGAGTCCAGCCCCCCGCGACGCTACTCTAGACTGACTACTCTTGCTG